TAGATAGATAGATAGATAATTCCAAGTTGGTAAATGATTGTGTTCGTAAAGGTTGTTAACTTTCTAAAAACATTAAACTCTCCTCACAGAGATACAGTAACTGTCAAGTTGCACTTTCATTGTGCGCGCTCCCGTGAGGTTCACGCACTTCTCGACAGGCACGCGCAGAGCCCCTGTCAGTGGATCACATGATATGACAAAGCAGCTACTTCCTGTGTAAACTGTTAGTCGATTCACATCCAGACGGCCGCAGCGACTGCGACTACTGTGTCATCCAAGATGCTGGCTCTCATAAACAGGCTTTTGGACTGGTTCAGGTCCCTCTTTTGGAAAGAAGAGATGGAGCTTACATTGGTGGGGCTTCAGTACTCCGGAAAAACCACATTCGTCAACGTGATTGCAGTAAGTAACGTTAGCTAGCAGGCAAGAGCTGTCAGCGTGGGCCCAGGCTACTACCTGGGAGAGGTTGTGGACGAAGGGCTCTTTGAATGTGTTATAAATTAAAGGGCTGCAGCATTGCTATGTCATTGTTACACGAATGCAGACACATGGCTGCACGACCGATAGTGTTGGTACACATGAGTTACTACTGCGGTAGAGACACTGGGTACGGTTTCACTCACTTGTTGTTTGGCTAGCTGCAATGACGAAGTTCTTGGTATGACTGTGCGCTTACTTATGAAACCGGTCATGTGAACGGACCAGTCAGTGCTTTGTAATAGCTGCCAGTGTGTCAACATCAAGGCTATGTTGACAACATGGGGTCACAAAGTAACTTTGTAAACAGTCTGTCTTGTCTACGTCATCTAGCCTGAGTGAAGTGAAGCGACGAGGCCTGGATCCATCATGGCCACAGGCGGTCCGCCAGCCGGCCGTAGTACCACAACAGCTTATTTAGCCAGATGTATTAGCCTGTAACATCTATTGTATGAGTTCAGTATTGTCATTGGCTCCTGTTTATGCTCCCTACTGAAGACATGTCCCTCTGCTGTTAGGTCTAGCTTGTTTATCCTGCCACAGGCTGGGTTTGGGTTTATGGGTTGGGTTATATTCTGTAGTCCAGCCTTGTCTGTGTTTCTAGGTGAAAGACTACATTGTAGTCTTAAGAAAAGCAAGTCATAGGCCACCGTCTTGTAGGCCTTTCCTGGATTCATCACAAGAATACACATTTTGCTCTGGCTCTGTTGTAGTCATGCCTGGTGATCTGTAATTAGGTTTGAACGAAGCTGCCTTCTCCTTCACACAGTCATTGTCAGGCAGTTAGACTGGGCCCAGGCTGCATATGAGCCACAGAGCCACGATAATTAAAGTTATACAGCACATTGGAATCATTTTATCATGGTCCTTATGGGGGTAAGACTAATAATGCCTATTAAAGCAGTTTACACTGGCTTGTACGGCACTTTAAGCTCGTGGAATGTTTGGTTACAAAGCACTGGTTGGTTGCAGTAAGCCAATGTATGCTGATGGGTAGATGGCATCATCTTAACATGATTCACGGGGTAAAAAGACAAATATTCAGCTAGAGGCTTCAAGTGGCCCAGATTAGGTTTTAATCAAATAATCATTTTCTGACCCCATGCACAGAAATGATTCACATCCACCAGGCTTTTCATGTGACTTTATTTTGAATCAGATGAGACCATGCTTTAAATTGTTATTTGTAACAAGTTATTTGTAATACTGTTTCAGTGCTTATCATTTCTCTTGATGTGTGTCTTTTTAACAACAGTACGTTATGATTCACCAGCATGCCACCTTTTTGCATTTGTCTCGTACAGTCCGGCCAGTTCAGTGAAGACATGATTCCCACAGTCGGTTTCAACATGCGAAAGGTCACTAAAGGCAATGTGACAATAAAGGTAGGCTGATGAGCAACAGTACACAGCTGGATGCTTTTACTCTTCAAATAGAAATGTTACACTGGAGCTTCGTATTCACTGGAGTTGTTTGGCAATGCTGTTTGGCTTCTGACTATTCTATATTGTGCTTTCTCACCTCAGATATGGGACATAGGTGGACAGCCCCGCTTCAGAAGCATGTGGGAGCGCTACTGTAGAGGGGTCAATGCTATTGTGTAAGTACAGCAGGTGGCCTCTGTAAGGTCGCTGGAAACCTGGAAAACAGGGTTGAATGAATGTTTAATCTTTATGTTTGTATCTTGGTATTTCTCCATATACATGTGTCATTACAGAATTATAAATTAGCATGTCATGTTTAAATATTTTAAAATTTTTCCAAAAAAAACATTTTGGTTTAGTAAAACATGTTTTTTAGTGCTACCAAACTCTAAGTAGCATTTTTTTCCCCCCTTGCAGTTACATGGTGGATGCAGCAGACCGAGAGAAGATAGAAGCTTCCAGAAATGAACTGCACAACCTCTTAGACAAACCACAGCTACAAGGAATTCCAGTAAGAGGCCGCTTGTGATCTTTGGCCCAAAAGCTCACGATATTACAGCTTCAACTTGGTTCATCACATTTCTTTCTGAGGGTCCAGTGACTTCAGTACACATGCAGTCATAATTAGTCAATCACTGCAGCTGATGGGTAATGGTGACTCAGGCTTGATGACATCGCACTAAGTGGTCATTTGAACCCTATCCAGTATGCTTTAATGAGTTTTCAATATCTAAGCTGACAGCATAATTGACTTGACAGGGTTTGATGTGCTAAATCGATAGACTTCCAGCTGCTGTGACTTGACACCACACACAGACAGTTATTTTGTCCTAACAGTAAGGATTCTGTGATGAGTGAAGCACATCGTTAAAAGAAATCCTTTAAATTGTCTGTTCACACTGTGCGATAATGCTGATGCATTGCTGCGCCGGATATTAATCAGCCCTTTTTCTCTTTTTCTCACGTTTCAGGTTCTAGTGCTGGGCAACAAACGAGACCTACCCAACGCACTTGATGAGAAACAGCTGATTGAAAAAATGTGAGGAACTCAGGAATACAGTAATTGTGAATATATGATTCGGTTGTTCAAGATTAGCAACATAACTAGTGCATGATAAATCAGTGTCAGGAGTATTATGTGACTCTTTCCCTGTGGTGATCCAAAAGTTATGATATCAGAAATTTCCAGTACGTTAAATCATCGACTGTATGGCCAACAGGATGAGAACATGGGTTTCCATACCCCTGTGTTAAATTTAAAATACTTCAATAATTAAAAAAAAAATAAATGTCATCTTCTTCCCACTCTCTGTCTTATTAGCAAAGAGCATTGTACAAAACATTCAGGTAGCAGCTTCTCACTTTTGCCAGTTAGAATGATGAATGCTGTGACTGTAACTTCTGTTTTCTGTGCTCTGCAAGTATATGTACTCAGCCAAAGATCCTTAGTGAGGGAAGAACCTCCACAGTGTAACACCACCGTACAATCACAAGTGTTTTTGTAATTCTAATAACTCCTAATAGGTCTAACAATTAAGCTTTCTTTCATATCATATTAATAATTTAAGGTGATTAATATATCATTCAAATATTTTATTCAGTAGAAGCTTGTGTGCCAGCTGTAGTAGACTACAGCTGTTACTTCAATGAGTCTGGCACATATTTAATCAACATTTATATAATCATTATTGGCCAAAAAACATGCTCCTAACCACAAGACTCTTATTTGTGCTTCTTCAGGAATCTATCTGCCATTCAGGACCGAGAGATCTGCTGCTACTCTGTCTCCTGCAAAGAGAAAGACAATATAGGTAACGAGCCGATCAGCGTTTAAATCATTCTACATCCAATTCCAGTGTTTAATAATAGTATTTGGGCGTGCTGAGGTCATTAAAATGTCTTCATGTTTTCACCCCTGCAGATATCACACTGCAGTGGCTCATCCAGCATTCAAAGTCGCGGAGAAGCTGAAAGTGAAGCCTCCCCAGTCGCAGCTCTGGCCTCAGCCCCCTAATGGTCATGGGTCCTTGACAGCCATCCCTTCCACTGCCTCTGTGAAGTAATCCAGCTCTCTGCTCACTACCGTCACCACCTGCACCACCCAGTACACTACCATAGATGTGTAGCCCCTGTACAGCACTACCGCCACCCCAACTATCTGGAGTCTTGAAAAGTTGTTTCAGTACTGTGCTTGAAGGTGGATTGTCCATACCCATCATGCCTTATCGCCCATCATTGCGGACATGCTCTGTGTCTGAGTACATTTATTTTCATTTAATGGCTTCTGTTCCTTTCGTCACAAGAATCTAATGATGTTGCAATGTACAGTTCCTCGGCTACACTAGGATGGAGCTGCTGTAATGCCTGTCAACATTCGATGTTTACGTCACGAGGTTGTGATTGTAGTTTTTAAACAGTTTGCCAAACGATGATGTTTGCTTGCGCTAATGCCTTCAATTCCTGATAAACTCTTAGCAATGTAGCCTGCATTTTATTTGCCGGCATATGGAAGTATCTATTTTATTAAGTGACTTAAATCAAAGTTTACACATAACCTAAAAATGAATAGAAGGTAAGACTGAGTGGTTGTTGTGTCTGAGGGCAAAATCTTAAGATAGGTCAGCAGAGTTATAAGTGCCTTTGGCTGAGTGAGTGTCCCAATGAGACAGTTATTGCCCAATGCAACTTCTAACCCACTATTATAAATAAACACTTGGTACAGACACAGCATAAATCCCTTGATTACACTTAACACCACCCCTCGACAATCTCATTTTATGTTTGTAATCACATAAACACATTATGATGTCTGAGAAAAGACAGTACTGTAATGACGATGAAAAATGAGAAATGAAGTAATGGACGATGAGGATGCGAGGTGAATGAGGAAATGTTACAATTTTTTATTTTTTTTTTTCCTTTTGGTTGATGGGTGATTTGAATGCTGTTTCACTTGTAGCCTGTGACTTTTATGTAGCTTGAAATGTGGGCTAACTTTTGCTTGCAGTTCTCAGGTTGTTAAAGGATTTTTAAAAATAATTGTCTGATCACCGTATGGGTGTGCCCACATATCTGTTTCATAATCCCTACTTTGTCCGGGTTGGATAACAGAAAGCCAGTGTTTGTCATGATGACTGAGCTTACGGAGAACGGGAGCCAGTCCATTAGTTCAAAGCATTGGATGCTTGATGTCATCCATGCAGTGCCACACCCTTGTCTGAATCCTGATGTGTTTTTGTAGAAGCCTTAGCAGTCAAAGGACAACACTGTTTCCTCTAAGAGTGACGTATTGATTGACACGTCTCTTCCCTTCAGCGACATGACAATGATGAGGTTTGACCACTGTATATTAATCTGCCCCTTGCTTGGCCAGTGCATCTTGATTAAATTTAAGTTTTTTTTCTATGTGTGTGTGTCGCTGGATCAGAATGACTTATCCCTTCTGCTACAACACTATGTAGGCCTACATGGTTTCTGCATATCACTGTAATGTCTAAAAATCCATCACACGCTCTCTGTTATCTCATGTTGTTCTGTGTCTGTTGGTGATCGTCGTAATCCTAAATGTCAATTGTTGGGACCACAGCAGCAGTGAGGGGCTGTGAAATTTGGGTGACTGTGTGGGTAATTTGGGGAAAGCTTTGTAACCCGTGTAATAATATAGCCTATTTGCAATTTGTATGTGCATGTGCTGAACTTATTCACATTCAATTGCAGACTTTGTAAATAAGACGTTAGCATTTTTATTCCCACAAAAGCTCCTGTAGATGTCATGCATTCTTTCCCTGTGATTGCTAATAAAATTGTTTTTATTTTTAAGGAAGCGTGGCATCCAAATTCCTTGCAAAGCAGTCAGTTTAGTTTGTCACCACTAGGTGGAAGCATAGGACCTTGGAAAGATAACTGAAGGCTGGGAGCTTTACATTACCTGCAGAATGTAGACATCCAAGTTTTGACGAAGCTTTTCTTTTGGTGCATCATGAACCTGCTTTTGCTCTTTTCATACACTGACTATAGGGCTGTGGTTTCGTGCAGGCCTGGCAAACTCAATCTTCAAGAGATTTATAATTCCACTGAATGTGTATGAGTGGGATGTCTTATTCCAGCTCAGTTTTCCGCTATTTTCGCACTAGGTCTTGAAACTTAACAGCACTATCATCCACAAAGGATTTCATAGTGAGTTCAGGGAAACCACCGGCACCCACAATTCCCTCAATCATTTCCATATGCAGACGATGTTCCTATCTTTGTAAAAAGATATGGTTCTGTTTTTTTCATTAAGCAGCTATTGTTACATACAAATCCCATCATGGATGATTAACACCTCTCTGTGTTTCTTGGAAGAAAAATGGATATTATGCATAGAAATGTAACACTCTGCTAAGCAGAATGTTAAGACAAGCGCAGGGAGTGTGTCACAAACTAGGGGGCCATAAAGCGAGCCGTGTTCTCACAGCTGGAGCTGCACAGAGCCGTCGGAGACCAGGCCTGTGCTGTTAAAGCAGGAACACCTTAATTAATCTCATTTCTTAAACGCAGCGTTTAATGAACAGCTGCTGGCATTTATTGTATGCCAGGGCAGTAGTTGGGATGTGTGGACAGATGTAGGTGTTATCTGATGAATTCCATGGGTCAGTGGAGACCGTGGTGTCTGTATGGGAACTTTATATTTGTGTGTGTGTTTGTGTGGTTTACAATCGCAATGACCACAAGGGATTAAGTAGTGGTTACAAACGTGCCACAAGGGTTTATGTGAGGAGGTCACGTAGAAGACCTGAAGGCGTGATATACTATTAATGTAGTTACACTCCATTACCAATAGGCTCAGTATGTAACACAACATGTTTTGCACCTACCACCTGTCACAAGTGCTGTCTGCATTTTTTTAATGTCCAAACTCGTCGGCCAGTCCTATGAATGACCATTCATCAGCAAAATTACAAGGGTTGCTGTAAACTGAATTATGGAATATTCCTCCAGACATGAGTCACTTCCTCATAGCTTTCACTCCACTTAACTCCAACAACCCTGAGCTTAGTAAATCCTCTGTAAAACCATGATTGATGTCTTAAATTATGAGGATGTAACTCAACATTCAGCAGGGCTGTACATACTGATATTATTTGGAATGCATCTAAACAGCACTATGGATAGCCTGCTGTATCATAATCATTGCGGTGCAAATAATGTCAAAGTTAGAGCTTACTCTGAACTGATATTATATTTTAGCAAAATCAAACAACTGTTTGACATGGCAAGCATCTTTTCAGCTTCCTGCCTATAAAATGCCTGCCTGTCTAATGCACAGAAACGGTTCCAGATTGAAGCTGTTGTCGCTTACATTGACTGGTTCACTTCTGTCTTTCCAGCCAACAGCCCTGGATAATCTCTCTCGACACTCAGTGTAGGAAGCCTGCGCTTTACTTTCACTCAATTGCCTGACAGTGCTGTAAAAAGCGAACAGATCACACCTAGTTTGTGCAGCCTCATAATCATTTCTTATACACATGTAGTGTGAAACTGGGGAAAGGGAAGGGTTCTGTGTTATCTGTGTCAGTCACCAGTGAGAAAATGTTCAGTGTCTGTCCAATCAAAGACCATGTTGGAGTTTTCTTTCTCCTGGCATATGGTCATGTGTGTGTGCGCATCTGGGTTTATTTAGCATGCACATGAAAGCATTAGTAACGTCTGTAGTATCCCTATCAAGGCTGAAGCATCCCCATTTTCTTCCTCATTTCCCTGTGTCATCATAATAAACTGTTTCTGTATCTTCCAGACAGGCCTGTAATAATATTTAGATCACTTCCAGCAATTAGACTTCAAAGTCCTAATATTTATGATATACCGCATTCACAGTGCATCTCACTAAATCCCCAAGCTGCGTTTGTGTGGCTCTAAAGGTGAAGGTCATTTCATGATCTGATTTACAGCACCTGTATTGGTTTGAGTTTTAAACAGCAAGATATTAAATCTAACATTCAGCAGAGAAATAAAAAGAGCGGATATAACCTCACTTGGTGGAATGTCAAATGAAGCATGGATTGAGTTACTCTTTCTACAATGTGTTTTGCTTAGCGTTTCAATAATTAAATTTGCCAGTAAGTCTTCTTTGTTCATGTGACAGCGATGACATCAGAGCACCACTGTTTGTAGCTGAGCTAACTGTGGGGTAATTTGTCCCGGGATCTTAAAGCCTCTGTTTTATGAGACGTCAATAAGTTGTTCCAAAGTTGTTAAACTGTAGTTCTGGGATTACAGGTCTGAAGCCCCAGCATCGGCAGGCATCTGCAAACACTTCATTCAGGTCTCCGTGTGGACCATAATTTGGCACTAATCACTATGTGTGGAATGTCACATGATTCATGCAGAGCTGTATGGCACATATCACCATCCTTTACTGCTCTACACCCTGTAAAAGACAGATGGTTACATGCACACACACCCTGTAATAGCCCATCTTAATAAGACTCCGCAGACAAATATTTTTCTCAATTTAGCTGGTTTACCCCGGCCATTTGTTAACGTTTGTTAGTGCAGAAACAGAATTAAACAATCTGATTGGATTGATGCATATTTCTTCACGTGTAGATTTCTGTTTAAGACAAGGAACCATTTGAACTCTTGCTTAGAGGGTCAGCAGAGAATTAGTAGCGATGCCAGCTGCATGGTATTGTTGATGCCAGTGTTGGTCTGTTGTTTGGTCCCTTTGTTCACTCTTTCATTACTCCCCATATACTGTAATAGACACTGTTTTAATCAATAGTGAGATTTTGGACACTTACTAATCACTTTTTGTTTACGTGGTGTAGAGTCACGGTTGTTGTCTTATCTATAAAATGCAGAGCATTGCATTATGGGATTGCTAGCAGAAAGTGGATTACATTCCTTTGATGGACACTACTTTTTTTGTTTCATTGTGGAATTTTTGAATGCTCAGTATAGTGGAAATAGTTTTCACACTTTCAGCCAAATAATAGTGTGTAATATAGTAAACAGGGAGCGACTGATAACCTAAGCAAATCTTGGGATGCTAACATGCTAATGATGTGAACATGGTAAACATACCTGTTAAACATCAACATGTTAGCATAGCAGTGTGAGCATTTTAGCATGCTGACATTAGCATTCAAGAAAGCACTGTACATAAGTGTAGCTAGTATAGTTGTACTGTAGACTCTTTTAGTATTAGGTATCGAAGTGTTTTATCTTTGTGTTACATGAACTCGTTTCCACTGATTTGGTGAAGCTAGTAGGTTTTTTGATCAATTAATCAAACAAAATATCCTAAAATGGTTGAAACATACTCAAACTTAACCATGTTTCATGTTTCATTCTCGGACACAGGTTTTCAGGAGGCATTGCTTCCGTTTGAGTGGCTGCGAGCTGCAACAGAAAAACCACTGTTTTGTTATTTTTTATTTGACGTAAACTATGACTTTCTCTTCTTTTTTGTGACTGTGGGAGTGCAGAAAAGCTGCTGAGACCTCCAAATGCAATAATTCCATTTCCACTCAGTGTGAGTAATCTTTCAGGTCCGTTCTGTTATCCGGCGTCCTCTCAGATAGCCAGCTCTCCTGTGAACGCTTTCATACTCTCACCTCCATGCCTAGGCTCCGACACTCTCCTCTCCTCAGATTCCATTAAAAAGCGTAACTTCAGCTCCTGGGGCTCTGATCAAATAGGGTGGCTAATGCATTTTCCTACGTTTTGATTTTTTTTCCAATGTACCTCATATTTACATATAGATTGAGTATTTATCAGTCTGCATTTTAAGGCAGATTCACTGTAGTCCACTTTATTAAACCATGTTGGATTTATGTATATTTAATGAAAAGTTGATGTAGGGAGTGTAATTCTTTGAACAAGGGAGTATACTCGGTATGTGGGGTGAATAGCAATGCAGGGGCTGTGAACAACTAAACTTGTAAGTCTTCAAATGACTTTGGTGTGGTTTGGTCAGTTTTTTATGGTATAGTGTCCTTTGCCCCTCTGCTCTCAGTAGTTACACACGAACCTCGCTCCACTAACATCATGTGATTAAGAATACAAAATATCAATCTTGAACTTTTTTATCCTGCTGTATGCAGATGGAAATGAAATGGGTCATTAGCCACACCCCCCATACAGGGTAGAGCAGGTTTAATACGATCTGTATTCCCTGACATTGCCTGCCATCTCTCTTCCACTGGGATGCCAACCACAGCTAGAGGGCCAGAGAAACAATACTTATCATTAGCGCAGGGAAATACACTTAAATACTTAAGTACTGTATGACGCTACAGCCAAGAGGTGGTTCACTTAGCTTTAGCATAAAGACTATGAATATGAGGGAACAGCTATCCTGGCCCTGTCTAGAGGTAAGAAAACATGCCTACTGGCGCATAAACGACAACATTCCCTGGAGTCTTCACTGATTGGAATAAACAAATGAGATATAATGTGTTATCTTCTCATCTAACTCTCTGCAAAAGAGCAAATAAGTGTATTTCCCAAAATGTTGCACTATTATGTAATGTAGAGTCAGATAACCTAAGACTTTTTTGTCCACTAGATTACATGCATCCAGAAACATGACAGTATTGTTCATATAATATAAGTTTTCCACTCCTTATGTTGCGTAAAGTGACTTGATTTATCACTGTAACTCTGTCACTATTCCCTAAAACTGAGCCTCAAACTCACGTAATTAGACTGGATTATCCATTAACATACAGGACCATAGGAGGTCTTTAAACTACACAAGACAATTGTAAAAAGAGAAGAAAAAAACCAACATGTGACTAAAATGTGTCTTTTCTGATAAATGTTGTTCAAATCCC